AAAGGTTCTAATTTCTTCACATGCGCAGACACTTGTCTCTTTAACTGTCTGTGCTGCCAAAGAAAATACCTGAGACTGGATAATTTATGAAGAACAGAAACACATTCCGAGGCTGGTGGTGTGATGTGGCTGGTTAAACCACCGCCAGCAGTGCTGGCATCCCATATGGGTGCCGGTTCAAGACCTGGCTGTTTCACTTCCAGTCCAGCTCTCTGCCATGGCCCTGGGAAAGCAGAGAAGATGGCCCAAGTGCTTGGGCCCCTGCATCAGCATGGGAGACTGGGAGGAGGCTCCTGGCTCCTGGCTTCGGATCGGCCCACCTCCAGGCATTGTGGCCATTTGGGGAGTGAACCATCGGATGGAAGACCTCTCTCCCTCTCTATCTGATGCCTCTCCTCTCTCTGTAACTCTGACTTTCAAGTAAATAAATAAATCTTTAAAAAAAAGAAGGGAGGAAGGGATGGAGGGAGGAAGGAAGGGAAGAAGGAAGGAAAGAAGGAAGATAGATAGATAGATAGATAGATAGATGGATAGATAGATGTTCCTTCTAGTTTTAGATGCCGGGCAGTCTGAGGTCAGTGCAGCGGGTCTTCTTGCTGTCATCCCGTGGTGGGAGGAAAAAGGGTGAGCGGGGAGAGAGGCCAAACTCATCCTCGCCTAATGAAACCACTGCTGTAATAAAGCAGCAGTCCGTTTCTGAGGGCTGGGACCTCATGGCATAATGTGGTCCCACAGCTCTACACTGTTTTGGAAGGGATAAATATCCAAATCATAGCAACTTGTCATTTTCCATTTTTATGATAATTATCCAAATGTGTGTGAAGTATTATCTCATTGTTATTTTGATTTGTGATTTGCTTTGTGGCAGTGGAAATAGAAAGGAAGGGACAAATTTTTGAGAAATGTTTAATAAAAGGTGCTGATGATCAAATAGAAACATTTAAATGCATTGTTGGAAATTGAGTTGATATGTATGGTACATTTGGAAGATAGTGATCAGGAAATCAGTGGGATACAGCAAGGAGGAGTACTGGAGAGGTGACTCTAATGGAGTAGTAGTTTTCAGTGCCAGGTTGAAATAAGGAAGGGGGGCTAGCATTGTGGTGCAGTGGGTCAACAACTGCTTGTGATACTGGCATCCCAACTGGGCGCCGGTTCAAGTCCCAGCTGTTCCACTTCCCATCCAGCTTCATGCTAATGTGCCTGGGAAGACAGCAGATGATGGCCCAAGTCCCTGGGCCCTTGCAGCCGTATAGGAGACCTGGAAGAAGCTCCTGGATCTTGGCTTTGGCCTAGCCCAGCCTCAGGCAAATGTGGTCATTTGGGGAGTGAACCGGGGTTGGAAGATTCATTTCTCTCTCTCCCTTTTTCTGTAATTGTGCCTTTCAAATAAATAAATCTTAAAAAAAAGAAACAAGGAAGGTTATCAGATAAGTCTAGAATGTAAGATATTCTGTAAGCTTATATGTAGTAGGTTGCTTCAGTAGGCTAATTTCCTAGAAGTGGGAGGTGGGAAGGATAGAGGATGGTTTTCATTTAAGAGGAATAAAGAATACATATATAACCAGCAAATGCAGTACATAAACTTTGATTGGATTTTAGGTTGAAAAAATTAGCTATGAGACATTTGGGGGCAGGTGGACTGGATATTAGATGATCTTTACTGCAGGTTATGTAGAGAATGTCCTTATTTTTATGAGGTGCATAAGTCTGCAATTACAGAGATGAAGGGAAGAATAAAAATGGCAAAATAATTAGTAATGCTTCAATCTAGGTAATGGTTATAGAATTGTTTACAATACAAAGCTTTTGACTTTTCTGTGTGCTTGAAACTTTTTGTAATTGTGGCTGGTAGAAAAAATAGGACAGGCTAGGAGCATAAAGGGGTTATGAGCAGCAACGGGGAGTAGAATATTGCCCAACATTCCCTTAAATCCGAGAGAGTTGAGCCATAGGAGAAGGAGCAGCCAGGTTTCCAAAGGACTTACAGAGAGGTTATGAACTCAGTACATTTCTTTCGTTTTTCAAAGATTTATTTATTTATTTGAAAGGCATGGGGGGGAGGGGGAATGAATCTGCTGGTTCACTCTCCATATGGCATATGGCTGTAACAGTCTGGGCTAGACGAGGCCAAAGCCAGGGGCCAGGAGCTTTATCTAGGTTTCTCACATGGTTGGCAGGGACTCAAATACTTGGGCCATTTGTGCTGCTTTCCCAGGTGCATTAGCAGGGAGCTGGATCAGAAGTGGAGCAGCCAGGTGTTGAAGTAGTTGGTCATATGGATGCTGGTGCCGAAGGAGGTTGCTTAACCCACTGTACTACAGCGATGGCCCCGACCTCATTAAGCTTCAGGGAGATAAGACAGATGCACAGAAGTGAATTGAGCAAGATTGTATTTGATAAAAAAAATTGGCTATAATGAAAATTTGGAAACAATCCAAACATCCCTAATTAAGAGATTGGTTACATAAATTTCAACAAAACTCTAGAATACTAAACAGTCAGTAAAGATAATAACATAACAGATCATTTTTGAGAATGAAGGATGTTCAGAATTTATTAAGAGAAAAATCAGAGAACAACATTAAAAGTAATTAAGTCTGTGTAGTAGGATTTGAAGTGCTTTTTACTTGAAATTCTTTTTTCATATTCTTTTCTCCCCTTCCAGTTATGTGTGAAGTTGATGATCAGAAAGGAAATGGAACTGTTTTCATTTTAGAAAATCAAATGTAAACAGCTGACCTGGAAAATTGTTTCTAGTAATTTTGATGTAGAATTAATTGTTTATTATTCAAAGAGCTGATACAAATTAAGGAGTAATTGAAGATCGCAGTAGGGAGGCACGGGGCACATGAACAGACAGTTCATAACAGAAAACAGAGGTGGTAAGCAGACATATGGATCCTTACTCCGACTGTCTTGTAGTCGAAGTGTAAATTTAAGTAATGAGGTAGCATCCATTTTTGTTTACTAGATTAGCAAAAGTTGTATACTATCATGTTATTGATGATAAAAATGAATTGTATCAATAAGTTGTGGCACCTTCTGGTGGTACTATTCAGAGTGGAAGATTATTCATTATTCAAAATTGTGGGCTGGGTTGCAGCTTCGAAGCATTGTAACATTGGGGTGAGCTGGGGGCTCTAGTTTTCCCACAGGGTACTAGCAGTCAGGTTGGGTGTGGGCAGAGGAACAGCAGCATTGTTCAAGTGTGAAAGATTGGGGTTCAGCTTAGTTCCGCCTCATAACCTGGGATTTGGGTCAGATTGTTTCCATTCGCTGAGCTTTGGTTTCTTTTTTTCCAGGGAGTCACCTCTCTGGTTGTAAATGTACATTAAGCACCTAACAGAACCTGGTGCATAGGCAGTGCTTATTCCATAAGTGCCGAATGAATGGATGATAGTAATTAAATGCTCTCTGTAAAAGGATGTCTATGAGGGGCCGGCGCCGCGGCTCACTAGGCTAATCCTCCACCTGCAGCGCCGGCACCCCAGGGTCTAGTCCCGGTTGGGGCGCCGGATTCTGTCCCAGTTGCTCCTCTTCCAGTCCAGCTCTCTGCTGTGGCCCGAGAAGGCAGTGGAGGATGGCCCAAGTGCTTGGGCCCTACACCCGCATGGGAGACCAGGAGGAAGCACCTGGTTCCTGGCTTCGGATGAGTGCAGTGTGCCAGCCATAGCAACGACTTGGGGGGTGAACCAACAGAAAAGGAAGACCTTTCTCTCTGTCTCTTTCTCTCTCACTGTCAAACTCTGCCTGTAAAAAAAAAAAAAAAAAAAGGATGTGTATGAGGAAAGTTTGGAGGGGAAAACAGAAAAATGATTAGTGATTATATTAGTCTAAAGAGATGTGAATATAGGCCAGCACTGTGGCTTCGTAGGTAAAGCCGCCACCCGCAGTGGTGACATGCCATTTGGGTGCTGATTCAAGTCCTGGCTGCTCCACTTCCCATCCAGCTCTCTGCTATGGCCTGGGAAAGCAGTAGAAGATGGCCCAAGTCCTTGGGCCCCTGTACCTGCATGGCAGATCCAGAAGAAGCTCCTGGCTTCGGATTGGCCCAGCTTCAGCTGTTGTGACCATTTAGGGAATGAACCAGCAGATGAAAGACTTTTGTTTCTCTGCCTCTGCCTCCCTGTAACTCTGTCTTTCGAATAAATAAATAATTTTTTTTTTTTTGACAGGCAGAGTGGACAGTGAGAGAGAGAGACAGAGAGAAAGGTCTTCCTTTTCCGTTGGTTCACCCTTGCAGTGGTTGCTGCGGCCGGCGCACCGCGCCGATCCAAAGCCAGGAGCCAGGCGCCCCCCCACCCCTGGCCCCCAACGTGGGCGCAGGGCCCAAGGACCCGGGCCACCCTCCACTGCACCCCTGGACCACAGCAGAGAGCCGGACAGGAAGAGGAGCGACCAGGATAGAATCCGGTGCCCTGACTGGGACCAGAACCCGGTGTGCCGGCGCTGCAGCAGAGGACCAGCCCAGCGAGCTGTGGCACTGGCCTAGTTTGTTCTTTTATTTGACAGCTCCAGAGGAATTAGACTGCCTAATACCTAAGACCAGGAAGGGGTTCCTCATTTTTCCTTATTCAGATTTTTAAAAAAGATTTATTTTATTTATTTGAAAGACAGAGTTACAAAGAGACAGAGGGAGAGAGAGAGAGAGAATCTTTCATCAGCTGGTTCATGCCCTGAATGGCTCTAATGGCCAGGGCTGGGCCAGGCTGAAACCAGGAGCTAGGGGCTTCTTCTGGGTCTCCCACATGGGTGGCAGAAGCACAAGTACTTGGGCCATCCTCAGCTGCTTTTGCCAGGCCATTAGCAGGGAGCTGGATCAAAAGTGGACCAGCCAGGACATGAATTGGTGCCCCTATGGGATGCCAGCATTGTTAGGCAGTGGCTTTACCCACTATACTGTAATACTGGCCCCAAATTGTTGTTTAGTTACTGAGATTTTTGTTGTGAATTTAAAATTAAAGTGAAATAATTTTTATTTACTTTGTCTTTTGCAGTAGCAGAATTACAGAAAAAAATCAAAGAGGCATTTGAAGTATTTGACCGTGAGTCGAATAATACAGTGGATGTGAGGTTTGGAAACTTTTGTCTTGTTACGATTCAAAATTACTGCTTCAACTCATAAAGTAGAAGAGAACTCTTTTCATATTGTACCTTGCATTTCTTACGCTATTTTGAATATTTATTTTCTTGTTCCTGTGAAAGGTATTTGCTAACTATTGCTTCAGATAAATATTCTTATTCTTCATAGTCTGGTAGAAAGGATATATCCTGATTTCTCACTCTAACCTATAGATTGTAAACTCTGTAAGATGACTTCTGTAATAGTTTTAGTGTTTGGCACATAGTTGGTACTTAGTAAATGTTTGTTGAATGAATGAATAAAATTTACTTTAAATATATATAGGTAAATGTTGTGGTACAGCAGGTTAAGCAGCAACTTGGAATGCCCTCATCCCATATTGGAGTTCTGGTTTGAGTCCTGGCTACTCTGCTTCTGAGCCAGCTCCCTACTTATGCACCTGGAAAGCAGTGGATGATGGCCCAAGTGCTTGAGTTCTTGCCACCCATGTGGTAGGTCCAGTTAGAGTTCCTGGTTCCTGGCTTCAGTTTGGTTCAGTCCCAGCTGTTGTGGCCATTTGGGAAGTATATCAGTGGATGGAAAATCTCTCTCTGTCTTTTCCTTTTTCTCTCTTTCACTTTGTCTGTCATTATGCCTTTCAAATAAATTAAGAGTATGTAGATATATTATCAAGATATGAATGGACCATTAAAAAGAATGGTTAATAATGCTTAAGCCGAGGTACATTCTCCAGTAAAATAGTAGAAAAACCAAACCAAAACAGAATACAGCAGAAACATGCAAAGATGAAATATGTGAAAACTGTCTGATCTGGAATGAAGGACAGGAGATAAAGAATAATGTAACCATGGGGTGGGTGTTGTGGCCCAGTGGGTTAAACCACCACTTAACGATGCCCTCGTTGCATATCTGGGTACCCGCTTGAGCCCTGGCTCTTCCATTTCTGACCCAGCTTCCTGCAAACACAAACTGAGCCAGCCCAGTGAGCACGTGAGACGTTTTTGATCACATTGTAATAGTATGTATTCTTTCGTTTTTTACAGGAAAGGTTCAGGGCTGATATATGGGATCAGTTTCATTTCTTTATAGTAATACCTTGGAAGGTTTTGTTTATGCCTCAGCTGTGTGTACGGGGCTAATCCCGTGGGTGAGGTGGAGAACAGTTAGGTTTAGCTCTGTGGAAGGCCCCTAGTGAAGCTTGGCTCAGCCATTGCCAAGTGGGTGTGAGAGGAGCATGCAGGGTTGCAGCACTGCTGCACAGTTCCAGTGGCTCTTGTCACACCGCACTCTGTAGGAACGACACTCCAGGGAGCCCCTGACCCTTCCAGCAAGGATACCAGCACAAAATGAGTGATGGATGGTGGTGCTGGTGAGAGTTTGGAGGGGGTGTGGGGCTTGCAGCTCTGGTTGTTTGAATGACTAAATATGTAGGTCCTTCGGAGAGTTCCTAGGAAAATGGAATTAAAAGATCAGTTTATTTGGGCACAAAATTATTTGAGATCCATGCACAGTGATTTATAATAGGCATTTTCTGTGAACTTTTTTTTTTTTAAGACTTATTTTATTTGAAAGAGAGTTACAGAGAAAGAGAGAGGGAAAAATATCTTTCTTCTGCTGGTTCACTCCCCAAATGGCTGCAACAGCCAAAGCTGAGCTAATCTGTAGCCAGGAGCCAGGAGCTTCTTCCGAATCTCCTATGTGAGTGGCAGGGGTCTGAGCATTCCAGCTATTTTCTGCTGCTTTCCCACGGGCATTAGCAGGGAACTGCTTCGTAAGTGGAGCAGCCGCGGATAGAACCAGCATCAGTATGGGATGCTGGCATTGCAGGTGGTGGCTTGACCCAGTGTGCCACAAATGCCAGCCCCTTCTTTGAACTTTAGAAGACCCCTTGTGTATGAATGGCAAGTGCCTTGACCTCAGATCTTTTATTGTAGCTGCAGGCTTCTGCTGGGGACAAAATAGAGAGGTATTGCTAGAGGAGTCAGTGAAAGTATAGCTTTAAGAGAGGGCAGAGAAGGGAGAGAAGAGAAATCAGCATTGTGTGACGGCTGACTAGCTGGTTGGGCTCTTGGAGCTTTGTGCATACTACCACATTTTAGTCTTGTTATTTGTGTGATAAGCGTTGCCATCTTTAATCTCTGCAGACAAAGAGGATGCCGATCGCTTGGTGAATGGCATGTTGGGGTTTCTCTGTTCCCAATCTTTACCGTGCTGCAGTGCCCACCTCCCCAGCCTGCCCTGTCGGGACTCCGGGAGCTCAGCTCCTGCCTTTACGCTTCCTCACAGCGGCAGGGAAATCTCTCGACTCCCTTAGAGCAGTGATGCCAGGCCTTTTTTGGTAAAAGGGCCAATTCAGGAAAAATAAACATGTTTATGGGCTACATCTTTTTCCCATTCCAAATTAAAATTACTCAGGCCCTCAGGGAAAGTGTGTGTATGTCTTTACAACTGAAATAGTTTTACTTTATTAAGTAAAGATGTTTACTGTGAAAATTGGCATTGTTTTTAGCATTAAAATATTAATGCTAAGCATATTTGAGGAGTAACAACATAGATGAATGCAGTGTTCTGATCATCATTCCTTATGTTAATTGGTAGAGGCTTTAAAGTGTATAATGCGGGGCAGGGCTGGTGCTGTGGCTCACTTGGTTAATCCTCCACTTGCGGCGCCGGCATCCCATATGGGCACTGGGTTCTAGTTCTGGTTGTTCCTCTTCCAGTCCAGCTCTCTGCTGTGGCCCGGGAAGACAGTGGAGGATGGCCCAAGTGCTTGGGCCCTGTACCCGCTTGGGAGACCAGGAGGAAGCACCTGGCTCCTGGCTTTGGATTGGTGTAGCTCCTGCCATAACGGCCATTTGGGGGCGTGAACCAGCAGAAGGAAGACCTTTCTCTCTGTCTCTCTCTCTCTTTCTTTCTTTCTTTTTTTTTTTTTTGACAGGCAGAGTGGACAGTGAGAGAGAGAGACAGAGAGAAAGGTCTTCCTTTGCTGTTGGTTCACCCTCCAATGGCCGCCGCGGCCTGCGCGCTGCGGCCAGCGCACCGCGCTGATCCGAAGGCAGGAGCCAGGTACTTCTTCTGGTCTCCCATGGGGTGCAGGGCCCAAGCACTTGGGCCATCCTCCACTGCACTCCCGGGCCACAGCAGAGAGCTGGCCTGGAAGAGGGGCAACCAGGACAGAATCCGGTGCCCCAACCAGGACTAGAACCCAGTGTGCCAGCGCCGCTAGGCGGAGGATTAGCCTAGTGAGCCGCGGTGCCGGCCTCTCTTTCTAACTCTATCTGTCAAATAAATAAAAAATTAAGTGTATAATGTGTGTTCTCATGCTGCTGATGGCATTATCATCCACTCTGTCGAAATTGGAAATTAAGGGCAGAGGAACAAAATGACCTGCTCAGAGTAGTGTCTTGTCTGGGGCAGCGTTCTCCTGGTTGTCTCTGCTCCGGCGGGGAGGGGCTCTGGCAAGGCGATGATGCCTGCACCTGTCTTTCCCGGCCTCGGCTCCTCCTGCGCCATTTGTAGAAGCACTGCATCTATCTGGACTTGGTTTTGGCATATGATTGTATGATTGAAAGGGAAGCCTCAATCGACTTTTATTTTCAGATTACTAAACAGCCTATTTACTTTCTAAATTGTTAGTTTCTTTTATAATTTGTGCATTTTATATAATTAGGCCTAATTTTTAGTTTTCTGATTTCTTGCTTTACTTTTCACTCTTGTGTTGGTTAAAGCTGTGTTAACTATAATCCACGTATAAAATGCTTTAATGTCTGGTAGAGCTAGTCTCCTTATCACTTTTAATGAAGGATTTAAGGCAGTATCTGGTGTGAAGGTTGAGCAGTGTGAAACAATGTCTCTGAACAGCATGAGGGTGCCAGAGAGACCTAAAGGCGCCGGCTGTGGGCGGGTAGAGCGCACTGTTGCCTGAGAGGCTGCCTGGGCACCGGAGTGTGCTGGCTCCCAGGTGACGGTGACAGGGCTGACCCAGGCCCCTTAGATGTGAGGTTTGTCCTGGCTACTCTCCCTTCCCCTTATCTCTGCTTGGCACATATTGAAGCAGTGGCTTTGAAAGTTTGTGTATGACTGCCAGGCGACCAGTGGGCTGCACACTGCTATCTAAGACCTTATGAAGTGGGCTCCCTGCTTCCCTCAGACCCCTGAGGGGCAGCCCCAGGGTCAGACTTCCTGGGTGCCAGTCCCAGCGCTGGCACCAGGAATACACTTCAGATTCTCTTTGTCCCTCAGCTTTTACATTTGCCTCGTGGCATTGGTAGCACAAGTAAGTAGTTCTCATAGTGGGGTTTAGAGACCACTGTGTGTCCCCCAGAGCCTTTCAGGTGTCCTGCTTTCATCATAAAGTTGAAACAGCATTACTTATTTTCATTCTCATTTAAAAAATATTTATTTAAGAGGCAGAGAGACAGAGAAGAAAGAAGGTGAGGGAGAGGGAGCATGCTCTCATCTGCTCATTCACTCCCCCAATGCTGTCAGTGACCCAAGGAACAAGGGACGAAGCTGGGAGCCAGGAACTCAATCCCTGTCTCCCATGTGAATGGCAGGAACCCAGCTACCTGAGCCATCACCCGCTTCATCTCAGGGTTTACATTAGTAGGAAGCTGGAATCAGGAACCAGAGCCGGGAATTGAACCCAGGTACTCTGATGTGGTGTGTGAGTGTCTTAACTAGTGCTTCAACCACTAGACCACATGCCTGCCTTGCATTCTCATTTGTTTTGCAAGTATGTATTGGAGGGCTTCAAAGGCTACATGATATGCAGTATTATAGGCTGCAAAACTAGATATGAGAATCTGGTATCTTAACCAGGTGTTAAAGAGATGTGCAAACATGTAAAACATACCATTCTTCAAATAAAATTAATTTTTGTTTTGGAAACTGGTAATATAAATTACCAGCTGGAATTTACCTGGGTGCTCAGTGTGGAACATGGCAGTGCTAACCAGCATGTTGAGCTCTAGGCCAGACTCTCACCCAC